CTTCCCTTTCTTTTATATTAATGATGATGACTAAAATAAACCATCACGAGGCAAAGAATTTAAAGATTTAGAATTACTATAGAAAAACAGCAGTTTGAGAAAATATTGATTTTGTTTTTTGTTTTTTATATTACGAGATGGAAAAAAGAAGAAAAGCAGATTTACAATAATTCTATATATATTCCAATTATATTGTATATTTTGATCTGGAGCAGCCGTCCCAAATCTTTTGGGCACCAGGGACCGGTTCCATGGAGATAGATTTTTCCATGGACCGCAAGGGATGTGGTTTCGTGTGCTGCTTGCATCCTGCAGATGGGATTTCACTCGTTTGCACAACCTGGTTTCTGGCATGTCGTGGCCCAGTGCCGATTGATGGAATGGGGGTTGGGGACCCCTGATTTAGGGGATACATTTAATCCTTTATTCTGTCATTAATTTCATCCTGTTTAAAGAATCCTAGGTCTGTTTTGGTCAAAGACTGCTACTTTGTTGAGGTTCTGGTGACTATGACTGAAAAAATCATAGCCTATTAAGAATTAAGTTGACAACATCAAACTTGTCCATGTCAGCTTTGGAAGCCATACTAAGATCTGATGCTTTCATGCTGCCACAAGCCTGAGAAAATGGGAGGGGTGGATTCAATTGAGTAGCTCTAAGTAGACAAAATAAAATTATTTTGTTAGTTCAAGGTCATTGAGTAAGGCGCAGGATGAAATTAGGATCTTACGTTTGGACGGATTGTGATTGGGCCATGTGATGTGATGATGGCCATGAGGGGATGGATTTGTAGTTTGGGAAATTGTAGGAAGCCCGGAAACTTTCAGATTTGGGATTCCACAGATGTGCCAGTTCTATCCTAGGTACTTTTGAGATACGTTTGTCTCGGAGTTACTGATTGGAATGGAGGTTTGCTGGAACCCTGACAGTCTGTACATTTTATAAATTACTATGTGGGTCTGTCAGACTGTAGAATTTGATTCTTTTTAAATCCTGGGAAATGGTTAAATTGGAAGCTATAATTTGCAATGGCTCAAAGCTTTGCTGTACTTGGAGCGCACAGACAAGACAAATGATCAGGGATTGTTGAGACAGCATCTGGTCAGTAAATTTCAGGAACAGCCATTAATTTATTTGATGATTATCATCTTCTTATCCTTGTTTCAGTGTTTCAATTACATTTTTTTCACGATGTTGGAGAGACATTTTTGATCACATCTGAAGGGCTAAATTTCACTTGAGCTGGTTCTTATCTTCACGCTTTTATTCTGCTTGAGATTTCCTCTCAGGCATAGATTCCATTGTAAAGGACTGTAACATCTCTTCTGTTCACAGCTCATACGGAGCTCTGACTGGTTTAATGTTGGCTTTGATTTTGGCCAAAAATATGTGGAACAATATTTTTCCTGTGATCTGTCTGACTCCCCCACTATTCATTTTTTATTTTATTTTTTGGAAAACAGAGACTAGTAATGAAAGTGACTTTTCTGCTATGGTTCAGAAGTTGTGGCTACTTTTTAATGTGACATGGTTTTGGTTCACTTATACTTTATGAAGTAAATGTTCTTAAAATGTTTTTCCCCTCCTTTTCAAGACTCCTTTTTGAGTCTTACTGAATCAAGCAGCATCTCAGCTGTAGCTAGCAAGCAGATAAAAAAGTAGACTGAAGTGGACTGAAGCCTGAATCATACCTTTGTTCCATCAATTGTTATTGTATTACGTGTATTGTACTAAGTCCATGCTTAGCAACCACAACTGAGACTGGCAACCAGGGGTGGGATTCAAAAATCCCAGCAACTGATTCGCTGCCCGGTTGCTGGGTGGGCGTGGCCATGGTGGGCGTGGCCTACCAGAACTTCCGGGAGGGCCATTTTTTTTACCTTCCCCAGGGTCTGGAGGCTTCCCTTGAGCCTCTGGGAGGGGAAAACTGCCTCCCCAAGGGTCCGGAGGCCCTCTGGAAGCTGGAAACAGGCCCACTTCCGAACTTCCAGGAATTTCCAGGAGAGCTGCCTTCTCCAGGATCCGGAGGCTTTCCTCAGGTCTCTGGGAAGGCAAAAATGGCCTGCCCCAGGGTCGGAGGCATTCCGGAGGGGCAGGGTGGGATGGGAAGGGCCAGCTGGTCAGTTCAACTACTAGTTTGGCGAGCCAGATGTAATTTTAACATCCAGTTCGCTCAAACCGGTCTGAACCTCTAACCGGTCCGATAGAATCCCACCCCTGCTGGCAACTGTGGTCTCTAAATGGAAAATCACACAACGATAGACTTATATCATCACCTTTCCTTCACTCCTTAAGGAAACATCAGGAAATCGTGACATAGGATTTTACAGGTAGTCCTTGACATACAACAGTTCATTTAGTGACTGTTCAAAGTTACAACAACACTGAAAAAAGGGACTTAGGACCATTTTTCACACTTCTGTCCATCCCAATGGTCACGTGATTTACATTTGGACGCTTGACAACTGATTCACATTTATGACCGTTGCAGTGTGCTGGGCTCACATGATCATCTCTTGCGACCTTATGATGAGCAAAATCAATGGGGAAGCCAGATTCACTTCACAACTGTGTTACTAATTTAACAATTGCCCCGATTCGCTTAACAAATGTGGCTAGAAAAGTCATAAAATGGGGCAAAACTCACTTAACAACTGTCTCACTTAGCAATATAAATTCTGGACTCCATGGTGGCTTTAAGTCGAGGACTTCCTGTACTTCCACGATCTCCCTTAATTCTGCTTGTTGCAAGCTGGTTATGATTGGGATGGCACAACGGTTGTAAAACTATACGTATTGGCCACACACATCTGTTTTTTTAACACTCTCATTACCCTGAACGATCACTAAATGAGGCAGTTGGTAAGCAAGGCCTATCTGTATGTCCATTACATACAATTGTATTGGCCTGTTTATTCAAGCTCAGACTGCTGCACCGTGACTGCATTCTATGAGCCCCTTGATAAACGAAGTAAAATGTTGTTTTTCCTTCACACTGATGCTCCTTGAGCCAAAGGACGAGAGCCTCACTGCAACTATGACTAGAAACTGTCGCTTCTAACAGCACATCATTCTATTTATGCCTGGAAAAAAAAATCAGCAACCAAGTAGATGGGGGAGATGGCAACTAAAATGCTATTCTATTGACAAACATACATGCCACTGAAATCTGTTCTTGCCAAAGGCAGGTTTTAACAAATCTGGTTCCTTGGAGATCTTCTCTTAATTACTCTTCTTAAATACAGCATCCTCGTGTTTAATGTGACTTGCAAGTTGAATAGATTTCTGGGTCGACAAGACGTGTATGTGAGTGGCGTTTCCCCCCCTTTTTTTTCTTCCTTCTCACTAAGCATTTTCATAATGCCATTATGAAACATTCTTTAATGGGAGATCAAAAGACTTTAAAACTGACAGTGCTCCCTGATTAGGTTTTTCTTTTTAAAGCTACAGTTAAGAAGGGGGAAAATTGAGGGTTTTCAATGTAACACCCAGCGTCTGAAGGTTTTATTCCTAATTGTCAAAGGAAACTGACAAATAAGTGACAAGTACTTCATATAATGGTCTAATTGCGTCCTCCCTCAAGCTGAGAGGAAAAGTTAGAGCTAGCATTTACACTTGAAATAGGGTATGCACTGGTGGGGGGATATGGAAGTATTGTTAGCGCAGAGCAGCTGTTATAGATCTTGGAAGGTACAAAAGAATATTGTACAAGAAGGTCCTTTTAGATCACATTTTATCACATGCATGAAACTTGCATGGAAGCACAACCCACTTTCTTCATCTCTCATCTAGCATTTTTTTTCTTTGTTTGTCCCTAACTTCATTTATTTTGTCTATTTGTGTGTGTGTGTGTGTGTGTATGTGTATATATATATATATATATATATATCCCTCCATTTTCATCCTTCTCTTTTTAATGACCTACCTCTCTTTTCATTTTTTTAAAATTCCAATTGTTGCCCACAGCCAGGAGTTTCTTTCATAATGCAATGTCTTAATATCATTCACAGAATTTTATTGGGGAGAGGGAAATCCAAACATCATATTCCTTCACGATTTTCCCATGATTTTCCTCCACCCATCATTCCCCGCTCCATTTTTTTGAACAAAAGGATAACTACGCTAGTCATCTCCAACTAAGTAGCCTCATAGACATTGGACTATAATTTCCATCTTTCTCAGCCACCATGGACAATGTTGTGTATGTGCATAGTGAAGGGAAATTATACAGGTAGTTCTCAACTTACAACAGTTCATTTCCTAACAGTTCAAAGTTCCAATGGCACTGAAAAAAGTGACAGGATCATTTTTCACACTTATGGCCATTGCAATATCCCCATGGTCACATGATCAAAATTCAGGCAACTGTCTCATATTTATGTTGCAGTGTCCCAGGCTCATATGATCCCCTTTTGTGACTTTCTTACAAGCTAAGTCAATCTGGGGAAGCCAGATTCACTTAACAACTATGTTACTAACTTAACAACTGCAGTGATTCACTTAACAACTGTGCCAAGAAAGGTCATAAAATGGGTCTTAACAAATGTCTCACTTTGCAACCAAAATTTTGGGCTCAATTGTGGTCGTAAATCAAGGACTACCTGTATTTAATTTCTTGTTTGCTTCCCAAGATGGTAAGCCACAGAAAAGAAGTTTGGAAGGAAGGAAAGAAGGATGAGGGAAGAAGGAAGGAAGGAAGGAAGGAAGGAAGGAAGGAAGGAAGGAAGGAAGGGAAGGGTGGAAGGAACTTCCACTTTTACAGCCCTTTACAATACCGTAAAGTGATTTTAGTGTTTTGTCTCGCTTGATATTCTTGCATATATTGAAAGGGGTAGAGGGAATCCAGTTCACTTTTTGTATGTCCACTGTCATTTTTACAGAGTACCTGTGTACATTGGCACATGCCTTCTGGTCCCCCTTTACTACAATTAAACATTCTCATCATGGTTGTATACCGCTGCCTTCTCAATTAACCCTTGCCAGTTGGTCTGTATGCTTACTTGATGGGGTTCTTTGCACTGTCAGGATCCCGGGCTGTAACAGCTCCTATGACGGTATTTATTGAGACATCTTCTTTTACTTCTAATATATAAGCTGGTCTGCTGAAGATTGGAGGTTCATCTACATCCTCTACTTGAATTCTGACAGTAGTAATGTCCTTGAAAGGTCCCAGATAGAGGAATCTGGGATCCACATGAGGATTGCTAGCTTCCACTTTCAGAGTAAACTGTCTCCGCTTTTCAAAATCCAAAGCCTAAGAAGAGAAATATATATGTATATACAGAGAGATTAAGAAAAAAAATTGAGAAAGCATCCAGAAATACCTGTCAATTAGAGAAACATTGAGTTGCAATGAATGAGCTTAGGCTGAATAATTTAAACTTAAGCTTTACAGTCTAATTCAGAAAGAACATCCCTTTAATTCAATGGAAAACATAAATGTTTGTTTTGACTATAGTCAAAGAAGACTTTAATGACCATTCCCTAATAACATTTCTTTGTCATTATAAATAGGTGGATGTGCAGTCAAAAGGCTCAATTTGTAAATAAAGAGATGTCTAAGGCTAATCAGACTTTAAAATATCTTACTTTTGTAATCACTAGCAAGCTGTATAGAGGTGTAATTGAACACCTGATGGGCCATGCTACACGGCTGATTATTTCCATTCTATTCAGTATTTCATGAATCGTGCAAGAATATGCAAACACCTACAATACATCTGTATTCCTATCCCCTCTCTGAAAACTCTGATTTAAGATAGAGATGTTCCTCATCTCTGATTTGTCCCACTCTAGATAAAGCAAAAGTATTTAATTATTAAAACATCTCCATTTGGAATAAAGAAACTATCTTTACTGTATTAAGATTTTGAAACAAAAAAAAAGGCAATTAACTCATGACAACTATAATCCAGGGGTGGGATTCTACCATTTCGCACCTATTCGGTAGAACCGGTTGTTAACATTCTAAGCAGTTCGGAGAACCGGTTGTTAGAAGAAATTACTGGCCTAATCCTGTAAGGAAGGCAGGAAGGAAACATTCTGGTGTTGCTTACAGAAACTGCCTCTCCATTAACCCTTATTACATTCTTGGCAGGACTAGACTTCCTGCCTCAGGAACTTCTCTGGAATCCCCCCCCCTTTGCTGGTACTTTGCTTGTGTGGAGTGACCATTCAAAGTTACAATGGCACTGAAAAAAGTGACTTATGACCATTTTTCACACTTATGACTGTTGCTGCATCCCCACAGTCATGAGAGGCCAGGGGAGGAGATGCGTGCCTCGATGTGAGTGATATTGAGTTGGCCACACCCAGCCAATAACATGACCACCAAGCCACATTCACCTAGTCACATAACCGCCAAGCCATGCCCACCAACTAAGCCACACCCACAGAATCAGTTGTTAAAAAATTTGAATCCCACTCCTGCTATAATCCTATCTGTGGCAAAGATTTTCAGCATCCAGAATCTGGTACTAAACATTGCTTGGATATGATGCAAAATGATGAGAGGTTCAGCTTCTTAATGGAAGCACAAACACCATTTCACTTTTAGCAAGGTTTAATGGCATCAGCTTTGTTTAAGTCAACAGAATGATGTTGACACACTTAATTTGACCTTAAGTAGGTCAAGAGTGTATGCTGGCAGGAGTTCAAATTCACACTTTCCCATCTTTTCTGAAAGGAACATTCCCAAATAGGTTTGCAAAACTCTTTATCAGCTTCCTTGTCATAACAGAACATTTCCTGCACAAATGAGAAAACATAGCATTCTTTTAGCATTCCCTTTTCTTTTCCTTAAAAGCACATGCCCCCAAATAGTACACTGAGGATGCAACTGAGTGCAATATGTGCAGTCAAAAGCAATCAAGTGTAATATTCAGCAAATTGGTGCAGCAGAAATGCTATCAGCAAACAAAATGATAACCATCATGTGATTGCTTACTAACAAGCACTGATGGTGAATTAATGTTTCTAGAAGGAGCTGAAGGAATTTGCCTTAATGGCTTTTGCTGTCCACAAGATTATTGTGCATCAGCCTTAATGGCATCTACTAGCTTTGTGGATGACCCATATGCTTGGTAGTAGAAAATCGTTATAGTACCATCAATGAAAAACATTATTTTGAGTTTTATACTTGGACTGTAGAAGAGAATTAAAGTAGAAAACCAGGAACCAAGGAGGTTGCTATGTAAGTTTCAGCAGATTTTGGTAAACTGATGTGTTATAGGCAAACTTTTTAATGATTCAAAGTCTTTATGTTTCTCATTAGTGAACTTTATCTACTCAGTGATACTGATAAAAGATAATACTTGAAGCTCAGGGTTGAAATGAGGGGTCATTGGTGCTCTCTGAGCTTGGTTGTTTTCTTGCAGACATTTCATTACTCAAACTAGGTAACATCATCAGTACACTGATGATGTTACCTAATTTGGGTAATGAAACATCTGTGAGAAAACAACCAAGCTCAGAATGTTCAATGAGGATGTACAAATTATTTCGATGAACAAACAAACAATACACTTGCCTCTTCAATGTCCTATTGCTTCTGGAAGTGGAAATATTTCTGTGACTAGGTGTAATTACACACACTCTTATTTTCAGAAGATAATATGTACACCTTATGTCTTCTCATGGGAATGGTATTTTGCCAGCTTGTTTAATTATGCTAAGCATTCAGATAAGGTACATAAACCTTTTATTTTTTACTCTTTTAGTAATCCTTATAGTAAGGATTAGTTATAGGAAGACATCATTATTTGTCCTAAACACTGCTTGTTCAGTTTGTTATCCTGTTCAACTTGCTTATTTGAAGGCTGAAAGGCTACTTTTAAATATGCTTGTGTGTTTGTGCTACAGTTTGGAAAAGGTTGGTAAAAAATAATGCTAACAAATCACCTTGTGACTCTGAATCTCTCCTTATCAGGCAACAACACTTGAGAGCCTTTTTCTATCAGCCAAAAACAGGAGCCTTTTTCAGTCTTTAGCCTTAGATCTCTGACGTGCCCATGCACATGGAAACTTTGGAAATATTTATTATTTATTTGTTAAATTTATTGGCCTCTCATCTCACCCTGGGGCTACTTAACAGTTTACAATAGTTAAAGTGGAAAAGAGAAATGCTTTTAAAAAATGTAAACATAACAAAAGCAAGGCAATGAAACAATAAAAATCAACAATGAAAGTACAATAATATGAATTAAAAGGTAGGTGGAAGGAATGGGACATACATAAGTATCCATTGCTCAGTTCTTACCCTCATACGTTCAGGTAAACATCAGCAATCAGCTATTTTTTTTATCTTTGTTAAAGAAGGGTTAGGATTAGGATTAAGGTTAGGAAAGAAAGATAAGGCTGCTGAAATGGTTATTTAATTAAGGCTACCTATCTCCATGGCAAGCAAATGTATTGAATTACGTATCCTTGGTGTGCTACTTTGTGCAGTATGCAATATCAGCTGGCATCAATAACTTATGTTGCCATCGGCATTAGGACAGTCTACTGTAGTAACAAATTTAATAAATAAATAAATATATACCTTCTACATGGGGCTAGTTGTGATGTTTACTAGAAAACTGAAATTGGTGCAGAACACAGCTATCGTCAGGCATACAATGGGTATAATGAAGTAGCTGCTTGATTTACTTTCACTGACTGACTACTACTCAGTTTCTGGGTTCTATTCAAAGTATTGGAATTATATACCTACAGTACATAGCTTCACTCATTGGTATGTATAGCTTTCTCAGTCTCCGTATGATGATCCGGTTTGGAGATGTCCCTGGTATATGGATGGGAGTCCAAGACAGTGTTTCTTGGTGGGGACATTCAATTTGGGTGGAGAAGTCAGATTTCCAGCAACCTCTGTGAAAGACTTTGGTCTTAAAGCAATGAAGACAAGACTATTTCCCAGGCATTTGAGGACTGACATCCAGGTTTGAGGGGTATCTACTTGACTACATGGCTTTATTATATTGGTTTTATCAAAATAACATTTTTACTGTGTTTTGGTTTTGTATTTTACTAGTTTACTGTTGTTTCATTATTGTAAGCTGCTGTGAGCACCGAGATTCAATGGCTTACAAATCTAATAAATAAATGGCACATGTGTCTTCTTGGCACATCTTGAATAACAGGGCCATCAACTGTGTACCGAATGAAGGCAAATATACATGTCCAAGGATAATGTTGCAGGATCCAATCACAAGAAAAAAACTGACCCAGACTGGATCCTGCAACATTTTGTACCATTTAAAAACAATTGGATATACTTTTGGATTTGGCTCTACTTTCATTTCAGGGTAATTAAATGCTTCCCCCCTCCCATATGATTGAAATCATTAACCATAATTCACAGTCCTCACAGGGCCTCTGCCATACAAGCAACCACATTCCATATTTAGCTTTCACAAGAATAGTTATTACGAATGAAGCACAAATGGAAGTCTTATGATAGGTTTAGAAATCCAGGGCTGAGGATTTCAAAGCTAGAATGGATTCTGAAGAGTCTCCATTGGGTACATTCAACAGATGATAGGGCAGCCTGGAAATATATTAGCCAAATTAATTTTGTTGCATCTCCTGGGCCTTGAAGTTAGCTGACACAATAGAGGTACTCTGAAAAATATGTCAGAGAAATTCTGTGGCCATACCTTCAGCAGGAAGGGATTACAGAATCCTTAAAAAAAAAACAGGCAGGAAGGCAGGCAGGACATGACTTATTATCTATTAACTTTTTTATTTGCTTATTTATGTTACAATTTTTATAGCTCACTCCAATCAAAAGACTTTAGACAAGTCACAACGGAGTAAAACATATATAAAAAGCTAAATCAATTAGAATAGACCAGCTCGCCCAGGACAGATGCCAGTAATATTCAATTAGGATTGAAAGCTTGCTGAAATTATAAATATAATACTAATGTGGTTTTTCTAGTCAACTCTAAGGACATAATATAATTTTATTCTGTATCATATTGTACAATGCCAAAGGGTTTGGTGATTGTTCAAAAGGACATAAAAGGTGTAATTAGCTTTAAATGATAATGAAATAAGAACAAGTCACCCATAAAAAATACTTGAGTATTCAGATGCAAATCATGGTTTTGTCATCAAGCCATCTCAAGGTTCTTTTTTTTTCCTTGGTGGCATTCTGCTCTTTAACTTTATAACTCAAGTTTTTAATTTACCTTTGGTATTCTCATATGGATTTCTAGATTTGGTGCATAACTGGAAGGGATCTAATTAGTTTATAGTGAAAATTTTAAGGTATACCACCCTTATGAGAAATGCCAGTATAAGACTGGAAGCAAATCTATGATCCGTTAAATGAAATGCTTGAAATGATAGTTCAGTTTTCAGTTTTCTACTACTGCTCCTTGTTATATTTATTTATTGCTTTCAGGGTTTAGTTTTTTCCTCTCTTTTTTAAATCAGTATGTGAATCTGGGATATGGGGAAAAAATACTGTATTTCTTTCTTGAGGTTTTGAGTAATTACAGCCTAAAGAAGGTTTTGCTCTCTTTTATGTAGAGATTAATAGAGCTAAATTTACAAAATAAGAGAGCTGCAGCTGGCAAGTCTTGTTCTTCTTTATCCTTAAATAACTTTTAAATTATGGAACAGATAAAGCTCTGTATTTGCACACATCAACTGTTTAAATACAGGAGGGTATTTTATGTTCACTTATTTTTAATGTGCTGCACTCTGAATTGTTAATTGATTGATTCAACAAGATTCTGTTTAATGGATGACTTTATCCTTCTGGAATTAGAACTGTCACCAAAGATCTTTTATATATTAAGGATTTTACCCAGAAGACATATTAAAAATGGGGATATCTTTCTGGATAAGCCGTACAGTCCTCTTACTGCCATTGTCGCTAAATCCCTCTTATCTTTAATATACTTTATTTTGCCTCTTTAATTTTATTTGTGTGCAAATTGTAAATCTGTTTGTGTGCGCATTTATATTTGGCCTATGTGTATTTGGTTTTATCAAGTTTGAATTTTTTTCCACTTGTATCTATTCCCCGAGAACCTGGTTTTTTCTGCAACATTCCCATGAAGTTAGGATATACTGGAAATTATTTAAGCATGACTTTGTGTTTGAAACAAATGCAAAATGGCAGAAATGATGAGAATGAATATAAAGAACAACGAGAATGAATATAAATGAATGTTAAGATATTCCTTGCACATCCCTGAGGTGTAGAATTTTAAAACTACCCACACCCCAGCAATCGTTCTATCAGATTTAGCTGAAAATATTTTCAGAGTCCATGCCAAGGTATTCAAAACATGCACAAGGACTGCACTATAAAACTTAAAAATCCCCCCCACCCCACACACATATCTTGCATGAGACTATACAACTGTAGGGATCCTATCTATATTATTTATTTGGTTTCTGAATCCAATAGATTTTTTTTTGTTTAATAACATCTTTAAAATTTAATTTTGCACGTCACAATAAAAGCTTGAATCAAGCATCTTAGAATATACACACCTTTTTTACAATAACAATGCCTTCTTGCGTTTCCTTGTCTGTTGTAATCCCAAACATTTCCGAGCCATCCCCTTCAAGAACACTATATTCCATCTCAGCATTTGGACCCACATCCGCATCATTAGCCTTTATCCGTCCAATTGGTGAATTAAGGGGTGCAGATTCCACGATTTTGAATTGATAGGCACCTAAAGACACGGTTAACATTATTTCAGCATTTTTCAACAATCCCTTTAAATGTTCTTGCTTTACCTGTTTGCTGCCTGTATACACATTGATACACATTGATAGTTACAACTGGATTCCTGCTCCTTTAAAAATAGGGAAGCTTAGGTTACATAAAAGTTTTTGTGGTGCCTCCTTTGGGCCTGGTGCCCTAAGCACGTGCTTAGTCTGCTTAATGGTTAATACACCACTGTATATACTGCTTCACAGTGCTTTACAGCCCACTCTAAGCAGTTTACAGTGTCAGCATATTGCCCCCAACAGTCTGGTTCTATACCTATTTAGGAGGGTTGGGGATCAAAACTGGGATCATCTGCATGCAAATCATGTGATCTAAGACAAAAGAGTCCTCTCCCTCACCAATATCTCTTTGCCAAGCAAGCTCCATGATTAGTTATGCAAACAGAAAGATGCACAAACATTAAAATGTAGGGTTTATATAAATAAAACTGGCTTAAGAATTCTTTAATTGCAGTAGTATGATGCATGACAATGATCAAACTGGTGACTATGATACACGGTACTTTACTCTGAGCAACTTAGTGACAGCTGCAGAGTAAAGAGACAGCTCTTGCTTTTGAATAGTGCTGCCACTGAACAGCACTACTTGTGGTAGGGAAATGGTACTACATCTACTAATTTAACATGAGTGACATAAAGAACAAATCCGAATCTGGCTCAGTTTATTCTTTCAGTCTGAGGAGGTTATGTTCCTTACACTTAAAGGGAACTATTTTAAATTCTTTTATTTTTTTACAAGCTTGCCAGACAGGCAAGTATTCGGAAACCATTAGATGACCAAACATTCTAGGATAGAGAAGTGTGCATAGTCCAACACAGGCGAGTGCTATATCTATAGCAGGGGTGTCAAATTCAATTTCATTGAGGGGGCTGGGGGTGATGGCCAAGGTGGACATGGCCAGCTCGATGTCACTCATATTGGGGGCACCTGTAGTGGCCTGGGCAGGGCTGGGAAGATCCTCCTTTTTGCAGCCCTGCCAGCAAAAATGGAGCTCATTTCGTTGGCAGCAAAAATGGAGCAAAAATGGAGTTCTGCCAGCGAAAATGGAGCTCAAGAGGCCTGTGTGCAGCCCTCCTGAGTTCCATTTTCACTGGCAGAGTCACCACAGGCTGGTCCTTTGTTGTTTACATGGTGGCCCCATGGACTAGATCTAAGCATCCCATGGGCTGGATCCGGCCCACGGGCCTTGAGTTTGACACTCCTGATCTATAGCTATTATCTTTTCTTTAAAGCTGATTTCATCCTGTGCCAAACTGTTGTCTTTTCTTTGCTTCATTCTTAGCACAACAGAAGAAGCCATTTTTACCCAAAGAAGAAACTAGAAACACTTATGATATCAAATAAAAACATGCAATACATTTCAGTAATCCAAAACTGAGCACCACCAAAGACTGCCTTCTGATGTGCTGCTCTGCAAATGTCCCACAGATACTTTGTTGGGGGCTGTTTTGTTATTGTGCTATCTGTATTGTTGTTTTACAGTATCTGCAAAGCTTGGGGCATCATCAGAGCATTTCACATTATAAAGAGCTCATGTCAACAGGAATTGCCTGTTCTCTGTACCCACAGGCTGATATTTGCCCTATATTATGAATATTTCTTCAGCAGGAAAAGAAAAAAGAAAAATAAATTCATTTCTCATACTTTTCTCTCCTTAATTTTTTTTTCCTTGTAGAAAAAAGAACTTGACAATGCCTACTTGGGTAGTTGTGCTTTGCAATGCATGGAGAATTCCTTGCTTCTGGAAAGCAAATATGTCAGGCAAAAGGATTCTAATTCAACTTTCTCCCAAATCTATTACTGGTAGATCTGTGTGAGATTTTCACAACGTTTAGCAAAAATAAGAGCCCCAAAATGCATCATATGTAGGTGATTTAAGTAGTGAAAAGGGGAGAGAAAAATAAATGATGTAGACATAGATTAACAATTGGACTAATTTTCCCTATTATATTTGAATTGGTTCCTAAGTGATTTCTTTTCAACACCAGAATAGCTGAAAAGAAAACTCTTATAAGTAATTGCCAGTAGTTAAGATGTGAATTAATCTGTGCCTTGAATAACAAGAAAAGAAAAATAGAAAAATAGAAAGTTTTTTTTTTTTAAAAAAAGAAAACAGAAAAATAAACCAAAAAATAGAGGAAAAAAGTAGGGAACAGCTTTCCCACAATGCAAAAAGGGAATAAAATTCTACATTAGGGTAGCTAGTTACTTAACATTTTAACAATATGTTGGCAATCATAAGGCCTAATTTTCTTTTTTACTACAATATGTGAATACAAAGAAGATAAATACATTATGAAATAAGAGTTTTGGCTGTTTTTTTGGGTGCTTGCAGAGATCTGTAAACTAAAGTTGACAGTAAATTGTAAAAAGTCATTCCTTTTCCCTCAGCTAGGTCCATTGACTTTTCCATGTCTCTACTTGATCATAAAGTTCCTATCATTTTATTGCCAAAATGTTCTATGGATGTAACTAAACAAGGAAAAAAAATATTTTTCCCATACTCTGGGGGAAGTGGGGTGGATTGTCATTGACATCAGTCAGTGTGATGTTCACCGTGGTGGTTCCTGATAATCCACCCATCTGGCCTCCCATATCCTTGGCTTGGATGACTACTTGGTACTGCTCCCGGTTTTCTCGATCCATGTTCAGCAAAGCTGTTTTGATGATACCTAGGAATGAAAAAAAAAGATTTTTAAAAAATATGTTATTCTAAGTAATACTTCAGTCATCAGAATGCAGTGTCTCTAAGATGAGATAGATAAATAGTTAGATAGAGATACAGAGATAGAAATTAGAGATGGTTTGGAAGAGATGGAGATGGCAAAAAAGATAATGCAATACCTCTCCTTCATACCTCCCAGTATGAGTCCAGTTGTGAATTGCTGGAGTAGTAGCTATGTTTAATCTTATGATGACAGAATGTACTGCATACCAAATATGTGCATAAATTATTTCAGTAATTTCTATATTTAATGCTTTGATGACCCTTCTCTTTAATGGGGTAACTCACATATTTCAAAATAAAAAAATATTCTAAAATGGATTTTAGTAATGCTCTCTCTCTCTCCCTCCCTCCCTCCCTCCCTCTCTCTCTCTTCCATATGAGCTAATGTGCTGCAATATTGATCTAGAACCAGGCAAACCCAGTCCGATATCGTTCTGAAATGATGGAAAAGCATTAGGTGATTTTCAGTCACTGTCACAATCTAGCTGACAAGGTTGTGTTAGGGAAAAATTGGAAGAAGGAATGCCACATAGCGACTGAATGTATGTTTGTTATCAAAGCTGAAGTAGGCTGCAAACTAAATAGGAGGAGAAATTCAGTAAGTCTAGTTCCATTTTTTAAAAGACTTTTGATTAACAAGATCTTTTTCCTGCATATAATTCCTTTTCTTTTCTCCCACATTCAAAGTCAAATGACTGTGCTAAGCACAGCTTTAATAGAAGTATCTACATACCCAATATTTGCTAAATGGATTTGCATTCAGGCTAAGTTCTGCTTATTAGGTTAAGATATTCTGATTAAAAAATGTATCATGCTTATAGATGTATTGCTCTGTTGGAACTCTCAAAGCTTGCATCAAGTCAAATGGATTTCTTTGAAGAGTTTGCCTAATGACATCCTAGCTTGACTTAACAAGTCATTTTAAATTATGGAGGTTATCAGAGTATGACAGATTAAAGTCCTCTGACCTGACTCAGACTCAACAGAAAAATATGGCTGCCCTTGAAGAATACTGTAGACAACTCGAGCGCTGTTCCCATATGTAGGGTCATCGGCATCCGTTGCAGTGACTTGCATGACAAATGTACCTGTGACAATGAAATGCAGAGTTATAAACTGGTGTATTAAAGGAGGCCATTTCAATGGCTGTCAAGAGTTAACAGAATTTGGGTTTGAGAATAGATTTTATGAGGACAAGTCAGATACCGCAAATTTTGAAGGTCTGCCCTTGGAGCACTGCCTCGACTAATTTTATGAAAATTAGCTGTAAATATAAGCATGCCCATCCTGCTTTGAAAGATGGCATTGTTCCAATGTTTTGTGAATGGCTCAAAGGAATCAAACTGCACGTGATGGCATTGTGTCATTCGTTTTTCAGTTCATTGACATTTATTTTACAAATAGCAGTTATCAAGTTGAAAAGGAGATTTAACCCATATGAGGGAAGGGGCTTTCTATATTCTTTAATGGAATCAGTTCACGCTTGTGCCTGCTGTTTGAAATAAAAGCAAATCCTTATTCTCCTGTTGGAAACAATGAAAGAAGGGCAATTCCGACAAGCCACAGAAGGAGAAAGGAAATTTCTGCTTATCGTGGTTCTTTCTCTCGCTCCGTCTCCTCCCCATTTGGCTGTTCTTGAAAGATCAAACAATTTAAAGAAGAGGCAAGCAAATGGCTAAATTCAGACCGACAAAAATGTATTTTTTCTGATATGAGAAAATTTCTTCTGGGGGAAGAGCAAAAAGAGAGCGTGCTAAAGAACATATAGTACAGACAAGCACAGAGAACCAGATCCCAAGTAACTGATAGTATTTTGGCTAAATTAAAAAGCAAAACAGATTGGTTGAGGGTCCCCAAGGAAATCCAGAACTGTAGGCAAAATTCGAAGATCAAAACACAATGCTAGAAAAGGTGGCAAAAAACTTTTTTGGCTCGATATTAAGAAAACTGCATGGCGGTATCTATACAAATCAGCACAAACCTGGCTTGATTTGAAACTGATTTTATAAATACTCCAAAATTATTTATTTATATGGTAAACACACACTCATTCTTTCTAAAGTGGACACTCTTTTCTGGCCTGGCTGGATTTTTTCTTCCTGTCTGGGAACTATAAAGTGCATACTGTGATGGATGCTTAAAAATGAATGAAAAAATGTATTTACTTATTCCATTTATATTCCATTTGTCACACTATCCAGAGTGATCCTGAATACTCTTGGAAGCGTAACACCTATCTCTATTTCATTAAAGCAAGCTAAGTTTTTTCAGACACCTTTATGAAGCAGTTCAAATTAATGCAACTTGTATCCAATCCAAACATACTGGATAAACATAAAAATGACAATGGAAAAATATTGAAGAGACAAATATTAATTAAATCTGAAGCTTTTTTTTAGGTATGATGAACAAATCAATTGAAAAACAATTTGGGGTGTTATTCCTTCACATGGTGACAGCTACAAGGATTGTACTTGCCACACATTGGAAAGAAAAAGAGATGCCGACTATTGAAGAATGGATTTTGAAATTGACTGAATTACAATGTGACCAACTCTATGGACACATCCATATCGTTTTTCTGGTAGCAGTATGGAAGTGGTTTGCACGGCCTGCTACTGGATGTATTGTTTTAAATTTCCTAGTGTAGCTTACAGTCCTGCAATTTCCTTGTGGTCTTTCATCCAACTATTAAACCATGTTCACACCTGCTTAGTTTTCTAAGATCAATCAAAGTCAGCAAAGTGTTCTCTACCTGCTGGGCTGATAGAAGATAGATAGAACCTAATGCTGGTGCATGGGAATGTTACAATAAAATAGCTGCATAAACTTAGATGACACATGAAAATCATTTCATGAACTTAATCAGATGCTAATACACCCGGTTGAATTCTCCTTATTTTTGTCAAATAGACATTTTATCTTCATTCAAAGCAAAAACATTTCAATATACAGAATGTGTATACTATGATTGATACTACAGAATTTTGATTTAAGTGGAAATACTGAGAAAACCAAAGGGAAAAATTGCATGGATTTGTGAATAGTTTTCCAGTTAACAAAAAATTAAAACATCGTTTCCCCTCCTTACCTACACATACAAATTTGTGCAAGTCAGTTCTAATTCAAATGGGACCTTCATGTACTGCAATACAATCTCACTTCCAAATACCAAATCTTTGTCAATTTTCAGAAAGTGTACCGAGTTGACGTCTATCAGAACCTAGAAACTACTGTAATATTCATAGAAGGGCATATGTGAAAACAGTGAAAACAGTTGCTGTTTTCAGTTGCTGAAAACAGTTGCTGAAAGTTAACTATTAGAGGACCTGGTTATAAGGGTGCTTTTGAACTGTTCTCCTTCTTTCTTTTATGACCATGCATAATCTAATCTTATGAAGACACCATCTTATCAAATGGATGCTACAATGATACCAGATGCTTATCTGCATCTACAAACCACTTTTCTCTGTCATCTTTCTTCCAACATAAATGACTTAATGCAGATCTTCTGTCTTTATCCCCCGCACCCTACTGCAGAGCAGAAAAACACACAGCTGGACATGTTAAGTACTCATTGCTTTTGATTTTAGTAATCCCAATTTTAGAACTGCCATTTGACTAGCTCGTGAAAACTAATCCCACCATGGTTGAGTGATCTGACACCTACCTACATCAGACATTTCTGGGACGCTGGCATTGTAAATGTCCTTTGTAAACAGGGGCTCATTGTCATTGATATCGTGGATCTTAATGATAAATTCTGATTCTGGTTCCACGGGTCTCTCAGTCTTTTTGTTGATAGCCTGAGCACGAAGAATGTAAACAGGCTTCTCTTCTCTATCAAGTCTTCTCGTGGCCTGGATATCTCCAGTGTTTTCATTGATGATGAACAGGTCCCCTGCTCCATCTCCAGAAAGGATGTACTTGAGTGAACCATCTCCTTTATCCTGGTCAGAATGAAGCTGTGAGAGAAACAAGAATTTTAAACAAAAGCGTATCTGGAAAATTCTTCCAAAGCTTCACCTCTGTCAACCAAGATTTATGGTCACACAAAATTTTGGCTAGAGTGAGTCAGGGAGATTATTTATTACACTGTACATTTCACTCCTCTCCAGAATATTTCTATAATGAGTGATTTCCATCCATTCTAGTCTTATCAACAAAAATTTTTTTCTAAAAAAGGAGAGGGATTATTGTAAGACAGTTTAGACACTGTGAAGAGTTTGGATGGTGATAGCTCTTGCTAAAGTTTAATTTTACTACATAGCATCCATTCCAATGGGCAACTCTGTACTGGGGGTGCCAAGAAACTTAATTTCTTTCACTATCCAAGTATGTGGACCGCAAAATATGGCTTTTCATTTCATATATAGGCTTGTCAAAGTGCCAATAACATCAATAGGTAATGAAAACGATTATGACTATAACAATATATTTCTGGAGAAAATCAATCTATGTGGTTGCTAAGAGTCGACATCAACTTGATGGCTCATAATCAATCAATCATCATCATAATATATTCATGAATATAATAATGGCTGGGACTAAAGCAGCCATTAAAGAACAATTCGTGTGTGTCAGTACTTTTGAGTCAGTATTGACTCCTGGCAGCTGCCAGGACAGGTTTGTGCAGTTTTCTTGGCAAGATTGCAGAAGTACTTTGCTCTGGCCTGCTTAGCTATGGTTGAGAGAGACGGCTTGACCCAAGGTCACCTGACTGGCTAAGTTCCTAAACTGGGACTAGAATTCATGATGTCCTGATTTCTAGCTTAATGCCTTAACCACTAGACCAAATGAACTCAAGGAGCAAATTAACCTAGAAATTTATTTGTTAGGATCGTAAGGAAAATCTTCTTTCAAAAATGGTATCGGCACTGACATAAAAGTTATGTTCCCTGTTATTGGCATTTTATTTAGAATCCCAAATTGGAATGATTTCTTTCTAGTATAAATACCAGCTTTAGATTAGATGTTTTCTCCAGACTTTCTTCAGAAAAAAACAAACACATTTCAATTGTCTCTTTTTGCTTGCTGTGAGCCCAATAATTGTCCTCTCCTAAGATGCCGCTATTTGTATTAAGGGGAAAAATTTCCCTTAAAATCTAGCATGCTAAATATGAAGATATGTTAAATGTGTAAATTTAAATCTGATTTTAAATTTTGTGTGCTTACCTCAGTTCATTTACTCCTAGAGCAAATACATAATCTTGAATGCTAGTAGTAAACAGATATTTTTAATCATTTTATATATGAATTTAAATAGCCTTATGAAGTAGTTATTTTATAGAAACAAATATAAGAAAATTATTCCATATCTCATCTAGAGCGGTAACAAGAAATTACAGAAGATACCTGTTTTTTTCTGATATACAATTTTAAGGATGTCAGATTAAACCAAAGGTTTAGCTCTGGTTTCCCCATACTTTACTCTACAAAATGAAAAACTGCTCAAGAAAATAGCAAAAAAACAAAAAAACAAAACAAAACCCCACCCCATATTCTACATGTAAGAAGGAAAGGTGAACCCACGATTATTATAATAAGGCAAAGGTAAATGCCTGAGATACAACACAGATAGGTAGCCTACTTATGTTGGAATAAATAAAACAAAAGATTTTTTGAAAAGACATTTATGTTTAGAACTGATAAACTCCAGGCTGAGTTATTATATAAAATATGGGATATTGAGAGAGGCCATTTTGCAACTGGGAAGCCTGTCTCTGCTGAGACTGAGATGGAACAAGTAGTATTTTTTTAGTCAACATAATTATGGAAAATAACAATAACAATATATTTATTGTTGCCATCAAATTTATGCACAGGGAAAATGTGTTTGTACTGGAAGTTTTGAGTTATATATATTTATCTGTTACTCATATATTCAAGAGCCCTGGTGGCGCAATGGTTAGAATGCGGTACTGCAGGCTACTTCTACTAACTGCTGTCTGCCTGCAATTTGGCAGTTCGAATCCCACCAGGCTCAAGCTTGACTCAACCTTCCATCCTTCTGAGGTGGGTAAAATGAGGGGCAAGATTGTTGGGGTCAATATGCTGACTCTGTAAACCACTTAGAGAGGGCTGCAAAGCACTATTAAAGTGGTATATAAGTGCCGTTGCTATTGCTATTTTCAAAGTATGATAGCTTATGTACTTGCATCAGACTTTGGGGATAAGGATGGAATTTGCATCATGACATCATCACACATATGTTGGCATTTTTTGGATCATTGTAGCTTTCTGAGGATGCTTCTGTCATAATTATTAAATTACTCTATTTATAGCATTATTATAAATATGTCCATAATATGCTCTTTTACATGTAAAAATCCGTGGAGTCAATTAAAATCCACACACCATTCTGATGAATTATGTATTTTACATTGTGCAGAGCTCATTTGGCAGAGTTGTAAAGCCATCATATTCATTGCAATCATCCAGAATAATTGTTATACATTTTTTTGCAATTAAAATTGAAAGCATAAAAGAGAGATCTTTCACTTGAAGCAAGGAGAGAAAGTTAAAATTCTAGCCAGCTGTGAAATAAATCTGCTCATAACGACTCTCTCTGCTTTTTGTAAAATAAAATGGAATATGCATGTCACCTTCATGTTCTGTAGAAAATAATCCACTTTAAATATAAAGAATATATGTGATAAAATTAAACACAAAGATTTGGATTAATGTATCAAGCATAGTTTAAATTGCACATATCTTTTCCCACAATCACCCGTCCCCTGGAAAAAGAAGTTTGTGAGTCCAGAAAAAATAGTTCTTTTAAGGTGCTCTTGAGAGGTACTATGCTCATGAATCAGTTTAGAGCATTCAATCTGGTACCCTGCAAAACTCTAGTAAATATGATAACAATGTAGTATTTAAATCCCAGGTCAGCCTTCCCATACTCCTGCATTCTCAGCTTATTGGATGATGCAAGTTGCTCTCCATTGTTGCTTGAGGGCATCAGGTGAAGGAAAAACTGAGATGCATTTTCAGTTTGAACCTAAAGTAAGCTTATTCATTTAATCAATTTATATATCAACCAATATACCATGTACGAATTATATTAATTTTGACTACCACTTGCAACTCTGGCTAATATACAGTAATGTAAAGAATACAAGTTATAATGACAACGAGGAAGAAGAAATTAAGGAATAACCATGGGATGGAAACATCCTATTGCACAACCAGCACATGCCCCAAGGAAATCCCAATCCCAATACGTCATGGGCTTTTGAAAGAACTAGGACTTCAGATGGTCAGCAGTGTCTAGACTGGGTGAATTTTGCGGGATTTGATACCATTTTAGAGAGAAGGAATATTCCCAGATAAGAGTGACACATGGTGGGACCAGGGGCATGCTGATTGCTCCCAGTTCTTCCCGGACAGGCGGAGACCGCTGAAGAAAGGCAATCCCAAAAGCATGAGAAACTCTAAAACCACGAAGTCCCAACAGTACTTTTTCAAAAGGCAACTGGACTTTGTTTTCCTTGAAGATGTTTTGCTTCTCATCCAAGAAGCTTCTTCAGATCTGACTGAATGGTTGGGGAATAGAAGGATTTATATTCCTTGCAGTCATCTGGTCATTAGCACCCTTTCTGAGTCGCTTGAGGGAGGTTTATGTGTGCCCTCAGGGTCACCTGAATAGTGCAAATGGGTGTGGAAGCTTCTTGGAACTGCTGAAAGGAAAAACAAAGTCCAGTTGCCTTTTGAAAAATGATCATCCTTCGGGATAATCATGACCTGGGTGACTGAGAGTCTCCACTAGAAATCCTTGATTTTTTCAGTTTTACATTACCAAGTGAACAATATATGTAGAACAGAGTACCAGAAGAAAAATGTCATTCACAAAGATATTATAGTTGTTCCCTATCACTTGTCCTTGCTCTAATCCAGATGTGTCATCCCATGGGCTGGATATGTCACATGTAGGCCATGCTCACCCCAGCTCCATAAAGACAAAAAACATCATAATACGTCATGATCTGGTCCGTGACGCAGTCAAATTTGATACCCGTGCAGTCTAGTCTTATGCTTCACACAGACTATTAGTTGTTACTGCTGTTCATGCAGAGACTTTAACTCTTTTCATTAATGGATGGGATGCTGCTTTAGTTATGTGACGCATTAGCATATTAGCATAAAGCATTTCTAGAAAACACACACACACACACACACACACAAATAAAAGCAGTATTCTAAAACAAAATACTCAGCTCTTATTGCAAGATTTCTTGGGGTTTCACGAAATGGTATAACCACTTTTCAAATTAAGCCAATATCAATTGAGAGTCATACTGGATGCTTAAAAAAAATTAAATAAATAAGTGTAGTCTGTTTGGTCATTTAAGACATTTGTAATGGCAACTTCTTCTAAGGTATTTCCAATTAAAGCTTTTATTGTACAATCACCTTGCCTCATTTATTAATTTTTTTAGAAGGGGAATGTTGGTGTCCAGAATAATTATCTTCCACTTGTGACCTTCTGCGTTTTCCCACTGCTTTTTCTATCTTTTTTTCTAAGTTCAGGAAATTCACTAAGGAGAAAATAAAACATCTGCATAAAAACTTTGGATCGGTCATGTTAGGAATGTTTTATTTCAATAACCCATGGAAGAAAGGCAACAAGATCTAATATTGAGTTCTCATGTTGGGCACAGCCAGATGTTCAGGCTAAACTTCTTGGCTCTATATCAGTAAATGTGTTTTAACTCAAGACAAGTTAAGGGAAGTAATATATGGGTTTTCTGCTTTTATTTTTTCCTTCCATCAAGCATAATATGCTAGGGTACAAACAACTATCAACTGTCTTCATGCAGGAGATACATGTAGGAGTGTGGAGGTGAATATAGATGAACACTTAGAACAGGTGGCCTGGCCACCTGTCAAGGCGGCAGGTTGCAGAAGTGGAGTCAGCCAGGCTATTTCTGAACCTGGGTCTCATGTTCTTTTGAAAGAATGGAAA